TAGAAAGCTCGAATTGAGTAGAACAACTTTCATCAATGGAGTTTTGTGATTTAAAATAGTTATGAGTATAAAATCTTACTATAAACTTTGTCCTATGGTTAAATCTCTCCCTCTCGGCATCCATGGCCGCAGCACGAAAAAGATGGAGTGAACAAGAAAGAACACGTGTGAAAGGGAAAGGTGTATAAACATGTGGGGCCAACTTATACTAAACTATTGATGAACCTGGTCATTAGGTAATCAAAAATTAAACTAAGAAAATGTAGAAGGTAAGGCATTATCTAGGTCATTTTTCTCAAGGAGCCTTAAGTTGAGTTTGTATTCTTGACAATTCACTTTGATTATCAATTAACCAGGCAAGAAAGTGAGTTTTTTGAATGGAAAATCTAAATGAAGAAGTAAGTTCAAAATAGAAAATGACAGTAAGGATTCAAAATGCAAATGAAAGTTCAATCAAGAGATGGTAGTTCCGCTAGCAATTTATCTTCCAATGGAAGAGAGGGTTGAGAGAAGGAGCATGGAAATCGATAGAGAAGAAGATTTGGACAAAAATGGAAGAGAGGGTTGAGAGAAGGAGGAGAGAACAAGAAAATCGAAAATTTGGTGAATGGGTTCATAAAATGAAGAGTAACCCACCTGAGTGTGCGTTTCTGGTTTAAATCTAGAAATTTTCGTCATCTGCCACTGCACGTCCACATATCCGCCACGTCGCATAGCCAAAACAATGTCCTTTGAATTAGTAACGCTAAGCTAACTCATTAAACTGAATCTACCATGGTGCTTTTGAGTATCCATCTCGGTGCCTATTACAGAGAGTCCTTTCTTGGAAACATCGCATTACTTTAGAAAATATGCTGCGGTGCCCGAGACCGAATGGCCAGAAACACTGATAAAGCTTCCTAAAATTCATACCAAACAGAGGATCAAAAGTACACACATACAAAATTTTACAAACATGCAAAAACACATATAAAACCTCACAATTCTATTCACCAACTCTTATGCACCATAAAAGCTACTTATACCCAAAATATGCAATTATAAATGACAAAAACATAAGTTCAGAACTAGAAATATATACAAATAATAAGACTTATTACATGCATTTGGAAACATTAAAATTGAAAATGAAATTTTGAATCCTAAGGTATCCTATTCGACCAAGAGGAGAAGTGATAGGAGGAATTATATTTTGATCAATCTAAGTACAAAAATAGATTCTACATGAAAAAATATGCAGGAAACACCTATGGGAATTATGAAAAAATTGATGATACTAAAACCCTAAATTAATGAAAAAAAGAGGTAGGGTTTTATGAAGAATTGTGTAATAAATGGTATTATTAATTTGGGATACTTTTATTCTTGTTGTTTGTGTCACATCCCACCGATTTTTATCCTGAAAATTTCAATAATAAATTAGACAAAAGGTCAAGTAGTAAAGAAGACTCAGAGGCAAAACAATTTTTTTAGTTGAGATCCGACTCTTGTCTGAACTGATATTTTTGAAATTATCAATCCGAAAAGGCAAAATAAAAAAATATTTGAGAATTCTAAAAAATTCTCAAAAAATAGTAAAAAGATAAATTAGAGGTTTTGAAACCCTATTTGAGACCCTGGAGGTGAAAACAACATGAAAATAATTTATTACAAAAGTTTCTGTAAACAGAAGTTTTTCAGAAAAATAGTGAAAAATTAGCTCGAAATAGTTATTTTAAATATGTAGAGGCCTCAATTATTTAAAAAAAATGAAAAAATTATTTGAGAATTTATTTGAATTTATAAAATTATTTCCAGGCCCTGAAAGTGAAAGGATTAATTTTAGAATATTTATTACTAAAATCTTATCAATAAAGCTTGATTTCAAAGAAAATTCAAAATAAATAGTTGGAGATTGAGATAAATTCCCAAAAAATTCAAAGGACCTTCCTATATTAAAATATGGTTTTTGATGAGAAGAAATAAATTTTTGAAGGTCCAAAAATATTATTAAAAATCAGAAAAGAATTCTAGTCGATACAGCAAAATCAGGTGGAAATATGTTTAGAAATGAATGGTGATACTTCTTTATCTAGCCCATTGGACATGATTCTGGGCCAGGAATAAATATTAATTTTGTGGCCCAAGTGGTACACATGGTTATGGAATAAAATAATATAAAATATTACATGATTTTATCCAAAACATTATCTCTTAAGGGGCACTTGTACACTCCCATATTTCTGCAGCATCTTAAGGTGTCCACATGTCCCAAAAACTCCAAATTTTTAAGAGACTCTTGGGTGAAAGAGGAGGCCAAATTAAGGTCTATAAATACCCCATCTTCTACCTTTAATTTTCGGTTTTTTAGACACTTAAATGGGGGAGATTTTGCTGCAGAAAATTTGATCTTAGAGAGCCAATTTCACATAGATTATAGCAGAAATTTCAAGCAAGAATCAAGGATCAATCAAAGTATGTTCAAGCTTTAATTTGGCTCTGTTTCTAGCCTGTTTCAAGAGGAGTTTAGTGACATAAATCCTAAGGTATTATGCTATCAATTTTGAATTAATGAGGGATGATTAGGGAGGGATAGAAATTATGATTTAAGGCTTGGAATAGCTTGCTTGGTTGATGTTTGGATTGATTTTTGGAAGAAACTCCAAGTTCCCTATTTAAGGGAGCATTTCGGCCACTATGTGTTCGTGGGGTTAGAAGTTGTTTCAGTTTAATTTGATAATTCCAATGAGTTTAAAATGTGCTTTTGTGTGGGAATATGGCAAGAAAAAGTGTTTAAAAGCATTGGAATCAAAAAAGAAAATTCTAGCCCCAAACTACCTTCAATTCGGCTAAGCTCATATGGACAGGGAAGAGCTTGATTTTGATAAAACCAAGTTGATATTTGGATTCTATATAAAAAAATTGTGTAATAATGGCCCAAGAGATTGATTGAAAGAAAGATGAAAATTAAAGTAAAAAAGTAAAAAAAAAAAAGAGGGTTATAAAGTTATGTTGATACCTACTAGTATTTTATGTGTTATGGTTGATAATATGTCCAAAAAGAAAAAGTCTCTATGTGAACATTGTTTGGCTAGAAAGAGCACAAGGAAACTCTTTAGAAAGGCAACCAGGGCTAACCATTTTCTTTAGGTTGTACACTCTGATATTTGCAGAACAATGAGTATAAGGACACATCACAGAACATGGTATTTTATCACCTTTATTAATGTTCTTCTCTATATGGCTATACTTATTTGATTTCCCATGTCATATTTGTTAATTCTAACATAGAAAGTAAGGAAATTAGGATTGACTAAGGGCCAAATAGTGTAGTAGAAGTGTAGATGAAACAACTTTTGAAGTGAACCCTAGGGAAGGATTTGACCGTCATTTTGAAAAGTTTTGGTTAAAATTTATGCCCAGAATTCCTGAAAATCTCCAAAAATTCATGAAAAATAAAATAAAAAGTCTAGGATAGTGGTTGAGGCTTAAAAGATTAAAAATAGCTTTAAAATAATTTATTTTGAAATTTTCTGTAATTTCACAAAATTTTTACTAAATAAAGGAAAATTGGCCAAATCAAATTATTTAAAATAGTGGAAGTCTCAATAATTCATGAAAAAAATAAGAAAAATTATATTAGAGGTTATTTCTACCTCTAGAGATGCAGAGGTTAGCTTGAAAATATTTAAAACCAAATTATATTAATAAAAGGCTGATTTCGGGAAAAATTTAATTGAAAGAGTTATAAGGCAAAATAAAATTTAAAAAAATTAAGAAAACCTCTCCTCATTAAAAGGAAGCTAGTGGACAAGCACCTAAATCGAGAATGTCATGCCACATGATCACAACAAACACCTAATATGAAAGGATGAAAGATGCAGCAACCACACGATGGACAACACATCAAGTGCGAGCAGGAGATTTTAGATGTTTGGGGTTGGGTCCACCATTGATGGGCCAGACTATTTGACTGGATATTAAAAGAATATCCTATTCAAATATCTAAACAAGGTAATGATATTTTGACTCAGTCAAATATCTTAAATCAAATCTAATTTGTTACAATATAAGTTAAATTAGTTTATATTGTACAGATTAAATATATACACATTAGAAATATATATATTTAAAATAATTATAGTTGGTTTTAGATTTGAATTCAAATTCATAATCTTATCAGTTAAAGAGATATTTGAATATTCAAATTTAAATTCAAACTAATAAGTTCAGTAGATATTTTACCTTCTCAAAATACCCTTGGCCAAAGCTATAAATAGAGACTTCCACCTATCAGTTTAATTCACCTCGGTAGTTGAGCTTTCATACTGTCTCTCTCTCTCTCACTCTTTCTTGCAAAAGGTATTCTGCTATGCATTCAAAACTTAGACTTTTATAGTTTAACTTATAGCATGAGCTTTAAAGACCTGATCGACTCGATCCGAGATTCGACTTGGTATGCTCCCTTGATCCTCTCTTATTTATATGACAATTTATATTCAATATAAATTGAATTTGTGATGATTAGCATCGTTTAAAGACTCGTTTGAAATAGTTTATAAATAGTTTTTTAATTGTAATTTACAGATGAAGTAAGTATGTGAAAAGAATTTTGTTTTGACTTACGTAAGATGTGTTTATAAATATTTTTGAATGTTATTCTAAATCTAAATATACCTTAATTCACATGATAAACCTTTTAGCCATAAAAACAATTTCTAAAAAGGTGTTTGGATGAGTTCATAAGTACTTTTTAAAAATATTTTTCTACAAATTGAGACAAATTCCTCTACATATTTATTTTATAAATCATAAAATTACTTCTTAAATAATGATTTTGTTTTTATCTAATTATTTTTTAAGTATAGTGTCCAAATTTACCTTCTAGTGACGCAGCTGAACGATGCTAATAAATAAGAAAAAACAAGCACCACGCTCACATGCTCCCCATACGCGCGCGCGTGTCCACGTCTTTGACGCCACTCCTTAAGACTTCAGACTTCACATCACATCACACTATCAGGGCAGCATATGGCCTTTTACATATGATCGATGAACTAAACAATCTTTTTCATCTGTGATTCCCCTCTCTTCGTCTTGTCAGCTTTGTAAATCATGCAGCCCAGAAAGTGTTTGAAACTCTCGACTCGTTTCTCCGAAACTGCAGGTCTTCATTTCAGCCCCACAATCCCCACCTTCGCCACATTCCCTGGTGATAATTTCTCCAGCTGTATTCCCGGCGCAGCGGCGTTGTCGCTGGGGATGGAAGATTCTGTTCGATTAGTAGAGGCGATCATCGGTTACAGTTTCGGGAGGAAGACGCTTCTGGAAGAAGCCCTCACCCATTCTTCTTTCTCTGAGAGCCTTAATTATGAACGATTGGAGTTCATCGGCGACGCCGTATTGGGCCTCGCCACCAGCAACCACCTCTTCCGTGTTTATCCCGACCTCGACCCCGGTAAACTCTCGCTTCTTCGGGCGGCTAATGTTAGCACCGAGAGGCTCGCTCGTGTTGCCCTTCGTAAAGGCCTCATTCGCTACATGCGACACAGTGCTCCTTCTCTTCTTGACAAGGTTTGTTTTCCGGTTTTTTGAGAAACTATGAAGATTTTATCTTGACGCATTAATTTTGTTTTTGGTTGAGACTATGCCTGTATGTCTTTCAGTTTCAATATTGGTAAGTGGTAAATTTTGAAGGAAAAAATGATTCCTAGTGAAAATCAAAGTATGCATGTGCGTGTGTATATTTAGTATTTTGAGACTAGCTTATTTTTGTGAGTGAGCCAATACATTTCTAATTCTGAAAAAGCCATTCTTAAAGAATCAAAGTGTGTCTTCCTTTTGTCCTGTTTTGAGACAAACTCCATAGACGTGTGGTTGGTTTGAAATTTTGAATTTTGAACTTACTCATAATCAATGACCACAGTACAAGTAGGTCGGGCAAATTTGCATCTTTGCCCGGACTAAGCCTTGATTTTGTTTCTGTCCAGACTATGCCTATATATTTTCTAGCTTTTTTCCTCCAGCAATAACTTTTAGACATGTGTACTTGCTCATAATCAATGAGTACAGTAGCAAATTATACCGCTGCTCTTTTCTTGCACGTGTTCATACTTTTGAAGTGTCATTGTTGAGTTTCATTATAGTATGATTAGCTTTTGATGTTTTATGAAGGTAATAGAGTTTGCTGAGATTGTGAGCCAAGAAGGTGGTTTTGTTACCTATGGTGGATCAGTGAAAGCTCCAAAGGTTCTTGCTGATATTGTGGAGTCCATTGCTGCTGCAGTTTATGTTGACGTTCATTATGACATTCACACCTTTTGGGCGGTGAGTTTGAGTATGTTTATTTCGTGACAGTGATTCACTGTTGCTAATAACACTTGAGTTTGATAACTTGTTTGCATACTTGTTTTTGGAACATAATTAGGTTTGAAGTATACAAGCCTAGTTATGGATACTTTTGAATGATATCTGCTCCTTTATGCTCCAGCCTTTGTTTTGTTTTGTTTTATTTTTTTTTGTTTTTTGTTTAAATTTTGTTTCATATATCCAAAAAAGTTATAAACTACGTTGAAACTGAATCTTTTATATTCAATACCATATTTTTAATTCTTGATGAATATTGATTCCATAAAATAAACAAGTTATTTAAACATTAAAACGTGAAATAGGATGTGCATTTGAAGGTCATTGTTTTGCAGTTGAATTTTTAGCTCATTTTCCTTTTTCTTATATACTTGGCATGATTGTTGGCAGATATTTAGAGGTGTTATGGAGCCACTAGTAACGCCTGATGATCTCAAGCAACAACCACAACCTGTGACTCTGCTTTTTGAGTTATGTCGGAAGCAGGGGAAAGAAATTCTCATAAAGCATCAGAAAAATGGCAAAAAAATCCTAGCCAGTGTTTATGTGAATGGAAAGTCTGTTGTTACAGCTGTTGCTGACCAGAAGAACATTGCAAGGCTTAATGCTGCCAAGGCAGCTCTGCCTCTCTTGGCCAATTCTGATCCTGCTATTGCTGGACTTAACTTGTGTTCTGATATTAATGGTCCTTTTGAGATCAAAGGGGCGAAGCATTACTTGCACGAGATCTGTGAAAAGATCAAGTGGTACAAACCTGCATACCGGTAAGAGCTGCTATAATGCATGGATTTCCAAAGAAGAATGTGTTTCTGAGAATTTTAGATGCAATTTCTCCATCTATCTTATTATTGTCTTTTGGTTCTCTCTAGCTGCCAAGTTTTAAATGATAGTAAGAACTATAGGATTTGCATCCTTTCACGCTACTTAGGGCCTGTTTGGCATGGCGTTTAAAATGAATTGTAAGCATGTTTCACGTTTTTCAAGACAATTCTTTTCACATACTTACCTTATATTCCATAAATTATGATAGAAAAACTACTTATAAGCCATTTCAAATGGGTCCTTAATTAGTCATGGACTCATGTTGGGTGGTTCAGAAAAATGTAGGAGAAATATTAGCGTGAAAAGTAACATGAAAGGATCCAAATCTTAACCACATGGAGTTACTATACTTCAGATTCACGCATATCGAACAACAATTTCTTGACTGGAGGTTTCAATCTCAAGTATTTGTGCAATTTAAAGCCGGATCTAAATGTTGGCTAGTAAGCATCTTGTAGTAAGAAAAGTAGTTATAAACTTTGTGGACCATCCCCATGGGTGTGGTGAAGGGAGGTCCCCCATTGGTAGGAAAAAACCTGCAACTCCTTGGGTTATTCTGCACTTGGAACCTACATAATGAACAATTTCTTCATAGCATTCAATTCTAGCTGCTAGCTTTTGCATCGAGTGACCATAGGTAACCTTTCTATTGTGAGTTTCGACCAGGTTATGCTTCTAGAACTTTACTCATCCTCCACAGTATACTTGTTACAATTTACAAACTGGACGGCATATAGAATTGCTACAGGCATAGCCAACTAGTATTTGGTTCATGTTAGTGGTGGTATCCTAGTTTTCTTTGTTAGCTTCAATGCTGTTCTTTCACTTCTCCTCAAAGTTGCCCATGTACTCTTGTAATCTCCTGAGTAAACTGATTTGACCTCCTTGCTTCTCTGCTCCGGTTTACAGAATTGAGAATGATAGTGGTCCTCCACACAACAAGAAATTCACTTGCTCGGTTCGCATAGCGACTGAGGAAGGTATACTATGCATGATGGGAGAAGAAAAATCAAGAATGAAGGAGGCAGAGAACTCTGCAGCCTCCTTGATGATACGGGCCTTAGAAATTGCTGACTTGAAGTTCTCATGACTTTGTTGCTTCAACTACTAGTTGTCAATGTTGTCCAAACAATGGTTCATCTTCCATATTGTATCGTTGTAATGGTGGAAATGTCCATGTGCTTGCTGTAGAGCCATGAAGCTGCCATTAGTAGCCGGTCATCTCCTCCTTGACTTGGGATTCTCTCTAGCGGCTATACGGTCCAGTTAAGGAGAGAGAGATACAGTGGTGGGATTTGCTTTAACATGTGAATTTTACTACTTATCGCTCCTTGCCGGACCAGGCAGCTGCTATTGGAGAATTTATGCCCTGCTGCTGTAATGACTACTTGAAATTAGAAGTAATTGGCAATTAGCATGATAATATGTGAATAAAGTTCAATTTAATGTTCTCAAAACTTTCCTTTTTCTTCTGTTGTTTATGGATAACTTCTCTAACTATTTTGTTTTTACTATAGTTATTTTATTCCACCTAGGCGTGTTATCATTGGTATGTAGTTAGCTTTCATTTATAGGTTTCCAATCTCGAAAATTGCAAATTAACTCACGTGATGGTATGATGTAAAACATTGGGAAGGTATAGGCATTGATAATAGTTCAATCCAATAAAAATATTGATAATAGAAAATTTAGAGAATATCATTCAATTAAGAATTTATTCAATGGATAAGGTGCATCTAGCAATACTAAAGTATTTTTTTCAAGTATATTTAGTATCATAAGGTATTTTATAATACATTTTATATTTTAAAGTATTAGGTGTATTTAACACTTAAACATATTTTTTTAGGTGCGTCTAACATTATAAATTATTTTTTGATGTATCTAACACTGTAAGTTACTAATGGCAAAATTGTACAAAAAAATATTTTAAAGTGCTTGACTACAATCCTGTTTGATTTGGGGGGGATGGGGGAGGTAAGGGAGGGGGGGAAGGGTGGCGTGGAGGAGGACAGGGGAGGTTTTAACATCACTTTGTTCAATTTAATTAAATAGGAGGAGAGAGAGAAATATTTAATAATCTTTTATTTGGTCTAAGAGAGGGAAAAAAGGGATAATAATAGTTAATTTATCAGTTTACCCTTACATATTAGTTTGTATTTATATTTATAATTTTATATATTATATAAATTAATTTACATATTAATTCAAATTATATAATTTAATGAAAATTCACTCTTATCATGTTAAAATATGCGTTAAAAAGTTGGTATAGTAATTTTTTATTCTAATTAATCTCATAATATATTTTAAATTAACAAATTTTATTTTGTTCTTTTAACTTTTTTTCCTGATTTAAAATATATTTTAATTAATAAAATATAATTAAATTTATAATATTATCAATTTTTATTAAAATAATGTTTTTTATTTTCAATTAATTTTTATTATAATATATTTTTAATTATAATCATTTATATATATTTTTACTTATGATAATATATTTTTTATTTAAAATAAATATTATAATAATATATTTTTTGGGTATTGGTGGAATATAAAAAATATAAGGATAAAATGGTCTAAAAATTTAGTTTTTCACCAAAAAACCCCAATTAGGGGATGCAGTAGAATGACATCCAATTTTTCTTCTCTGGCCTTTCCCTCCTGTACCCCATTTTATCACCATTGGATCAAATCTTAATAGTCCAGATTTAATATTTAAAAAAATATTATTTTTACCAAAAATATTATAATTTTATTTAAAAAATACATAAATAAATCTGAACAGTTAAAATATGATCTGAAGAGAAACAATCTATTTTATAATAATAATCTATAGTTGTAAATTATTCAGATATGATTTTAGTTATTCAAATTTATTTATATATTAAGTAAAATTAAAATATTGTTTATAAAAATAATAGTATGGTTTTGTAATATTAAACTTGGATTATTGAAATTTAATCTAATGATGATAAAGGACTTGACATGTATATCCAAGAATTGAAAGGAGGACATCCTCATTATCTAAAAAAAAAACAAAAGAAAAAAAAAGAAAGAAAGGAGAACCCCCTCAAAGTTGGTATAGTGTGGGCTTGAAGGACTTTAGATGTTCTCAAATTTTAATGTAACTAGACTATGTATTTGTATTTTTTTTTTTAGATTCTTTATTTTTTCTACCGTATTTTTTTTTATAGATATTTTCAACACATAAGTTCAATGGATCATTAGACTCTATTTTTTTTTTTTCCTTCTTTTGAATTTTAACAAGTAAAACGAGATATTTAAAACTCTCAAATTCTTTAATCCTAATGATCAAGTAAGAGTTTGTGAATTGTAGATGCTCTTTCGGTTCTTAATGTAAGACCTAATTAACTAATTTAAGTAGATTAAAAATCTTAGTTAAATAAGTTAATATAATATGTTCTTTCTAAAATACCCTAATAATCTTTTTTTATTTCCTCTTTCCTTCTCCTACTTGATCATTATTGGAGAATATCAATTGGATTAATTTAAAAAAATTGATAAAAATGTAAAATAAATCTCACATATAGATCAATATCAACTCTCAGATTAGATCTTACATTAAAAACTCGATAAGTAATATATTTTACTTGTGATTTGTTATTGCACCCTACGGAAGAGCAGTGGTTTTGTTGGCTGTGCGCTAGTTTGCCTTCAGTTTGAAAAAAATACTCCAATGTTTTATGTGATAAAATTTTTCTTATATATTTACCTCATACAACATAATAAAATCACAAAAAATAAGCTAAAACAAGTATGAGTGAAAGTTTAAAGAGGAATTTCAGTTTCCTACAATTCCTTAATTTTTTTTACACAGGGCTTAAATGCAGTTATTCAATTTAAATAGTGCTAAGAGGCAAAAAAAAACCCATGAACATTTTTTACTTGTGCAGTTGGCACCGTAAACAAATTTTGGGTGCAAAAATACTCATGAAAACTATAAAAGAGTTCAAAAATACCACATCTATTAACTACTATGAACATCTGTTGCTCTTTTTTTGTACGAGTCCCACCCAATTTCCACATGTCATAAGCTTTTTCACATCTAAAATCTCTCTCCTTTTCTGCTCACCCTCCTCTGTCGTCATTTACACTCACTCTCATCATGTGTCACGTCCCGTCACGCCCTTAAAATTTAGAGCTACCCGACACAGAATGAGAAAACTCACACTCCTTAGGCCTTAAAACAACTCATTAAACACTTGATATAATAATAATATGATTTCTAATATTCCAATTAATGTAATAATCTTCATAGTGCATCTATCAATTCTAAATCATATATATTTTTGAAAACACAAGGTTTTGCATTAATTTAGAAATCTTTACCATGCTTTAAACCCAAGCTAGTGGTGCATTAAATTCAATCATAAGTAGAAGGAACATAGCTAATTGTACTATCTGAGGCTAAAAATAATTTACTGGTGAATAATGTTCCATTAATAAGGTAAGAGAAACAAATGTTGAATGAATAAATTATGCATATTTAATACTATAAAATAAATGATTTATTGTTACTTTCAATTTCTGAGTAAACTATTAAAACATAAAAGAAAATATGTAAAGTAGTTTTAATATGCAAAACTAATTAAATATTTAAATAACTCGTATATAAAACAATATCATAAAATAGTGTGAAAACCCCTTTTCCATCGAGACTGCAACAAAATGAGCAACAAGCATGGACACCTAGTCCACGAGGGCATGTAACCACTAAGCGTGGTCGAAACCATGAATCCAAGTACGAGAAAAGTGCCCATAAATGTCAAGTGAGTTGGGTGTTAACCATGACGCACCAGTACAAGCACAACCAAAGCCATGAATGACAAGCACAATCGAAGTCATGAATAATAGGCACAGTCGAAGCCATGGATACAAGGGTAGCCAAAGCCATGAATGACAATCGCAGCCAAAGCCACGAATAACAAGCGAGCTCCAAATTAATCACGCTGTTAGCAACCAATGTTCTATATCTAGCCCTCTTAAAAACATTTCTAAGGATGCACGGGGTCAGTTTACCATTAGCAAATAGAAAGGATCTTTTTTGATAATAAAATCTCAAAAGCAATACTTTATGACAAAGGATCTCAGCATGTAAGTTTTGAAATAACATCTCATAAACTTTTCTTTCAAAGTCCAGGTATGAATGTTCATTAAAAACAAAATATTGAAGAGGAAATATTCTCATGTAAAGTTCTTGTTCTATGCAAGCAATAAATAATATCTTCCAAGAGTTAAAACATTAAAATATCCAATAAATGAAAAGGAGAAATGATGCAATTTTAAGAAAAATTATTTGATAACTATTTGGTAAGAAAGCTAATAATTTAATCAAATTGGTAACAAGCAGTAAAAATATCATTTGTGAAAACTATTATGGGATGCTATTCACTCACCTATTGCCCATCTAGAAATATAACCTACTCCTACTAAATAGCTTCTGGCTCATATACACTCCTAATCTCTTAATACCTAGAACAAAATCATTATTATTCTTCTTTATAAGCCTATTGAATTCATAACGTTCATTTAATAAAATTCTTAACAATAACCACAACTTCATGGCTAGTTATTAGAATTGGAGCCTCAATCGAATCTCCACAGTCAGTTAGGATATAATTTAAGTACCCAAAAATAAACATAACCTCTAATTATAATACACTACAAATAATAAAAGAAATTTTATCTAATACACACACATAGATACATAACGATATCCACATCATCTAGGTCTTAATTTCAATAGTAAACAACTCTCACACCATAAGTGATTCAATGTTACCATTAACATGTTCAAGTAAGCAAAACCAAGTTCTTTATAATTTATAGAACATCTAATGATTCTCTTTTACTCACTTCATCAAACACTTTATGGGCATTCAAAAATTAAATTATAAACAAATATCTTAATTCATAAACTGCCATTCATGCACTCCCAAGCGTTATGATTGAACCCAATTGTTCTATGTTATTTCATATCATTTTAAGGGTATTTATCATGGATTTTGGCTCCTTTTGATGATAATTATGCTTAATTTAGATTAAGAGTCCTTACTTTGAGTTAGTGTCTTTTTGAGGGTAAAATTGTCATAATTGATTATTAATTGTATTCAATTGATTTCTAGGACAATTGATGCTTCAAATTGTTGCTTTTTATTGTAGGACACTTGAGAATTAGAGCCAAGATTGAAGACCAAAGCATTACACAACATGAGAGTTTCCAAGAAAATGCTGTGATGTGGCAAAAAGTCTGAAAATGTGCATCAGTGATTATTCTGGAATAGTTCACCGTGACAAACTCTCAAAATCTCACTAGAATACCTCTCTGGAATAGTTTACCGCGGCAAACCTCTTCATATCAGGAATGTCAGATTCGGATCCAGAATGTAAATATGGACCCTCTACTCATATGATCCGACCCAGATTGACCCCTCAAGCCCTTAGAAACACTATTTTCGACCAATCACTCCATT